CCTCCCCCAGCAGACCAGGCTTTTGTTGCGGGACGCCTTGGGTAGAGCAGCTGGGGTGCTGCCAGGTTGGTCCTGTGGGAACCTACCGGGCAGCGCCCCAGCTGTTCTGTCCCAGGCTCCAGATTCAGCAGCTGTTGAAACTGATCAGGCTGATTCCAGGAAGCTGGGGGCAGAGCAACTCTGCCTCTGGCTTCCTGTAGTCAGCCCCTGGTCAGTTTCAGTGGCAGCAGCTGAATCTGGAGCCAGTTCCGACTTACATACAAATTCAACTTAAGAACAAACCTATAGTCCCTATCTTGTACGTAACCTGGGGACTGCCTGTAGTTTAAAAATATCAATGCAGCTCGAGTTCTAGGAACTTAGGGTCCCATGCTGGTACAAGCAAGTGCAGGAAGTGATGACTGAACTTCCTGCCTGGAAGGTCCAATGTTCCGAGCTTGAGATCCTCACAAATATCCTGACACTTGTAGGCCATACAAATTGGGGGTGGTGTGGAATCCTCTGCAGAAACAAGTCTTGGACCTGATTCACCTCTGCCTGGCATCTTGGCAGTCACATGCATGCAGTGATAGTACTTGACACCACCTGCATTCATTGTGCACAGGTATAAGTGACTACACAATGGACCACAGCAGTGGAGAAGCAGTGGACTCCCCAGGGGGCTCCATCTCTCCACAGAGCTCTTGGTCAGCATGTACTTCACTCTACTCAGCATGGAAACGTCAGACACAGTACCTCACATTAGAGTTTCCATCTGCCTCTGATGGCATCAGACTCTGAGACCTGCGGGACTCCTACAGTTGCAGTGCCTGAGCCATCCCTGTCAAACTGGATGGCAGGAGAGGATTCTCGTGAGGATCACCTGTTGTGTTCCCTCCCTCTGGGGCATCTGACATTAGCCACCATCGGCAGACAGGCTACTGGGCTAGATGGACCTTTGGTCTGACTCAGTACGGCCATTCTTTCCTACGATGTCACCACTTGTTTTCTCCTTCAGACAATGGACAGAGTTGTTGACAAATTAACAAGTGTTTGCAGCTCGCATGTTAATTTCAGGAGCAAATCATAAGGGGAGGGGAAATAGAGGTCCAGTGAAGACACCAGAAAAATGTTAACCCTTCCTATACAGACCTGCTGTGCTTTATGTATGGTTAACCCTGTACTCACATTAGGTCCATTCAGTAACAACATCATGCAAAGTATTATGCAATTATAAACAAACATTCTGCCCTGACGTCACTGGGGCTGAAGTCATTTACCAGATGCAGACTGCACTGAGGATCTAGCCTAAGGTCAGATTATGTGGAATTAAATTATTTTTGGATTTAGTACTAGTGAATTATAAAAACATAGGATTAATTGGACTGATCGAGAACACCTAGTCTTTGTCCACACTGCGCGTTTTTGCTGGAAGAGGCAATGCGAATGAAGTGCTGATTAGCATTTTGTTGCACTTCATTTGCATAGTCTATTCCAAAGCGGTTTTGTGCAAGAGATTTTTCCGCAAAAATAAGCAGTGTGGCCATGTCCGTTTTGCACAAAAACCGCTTTTTGCGCAAAATGCTAATCAGCGCTTCATTTGCATTGCCTCTTCTGGCAAAAACCTGGAGTGTAGACATAACCCTAGGCTGTGTCTAGACTGGCAAGTTTTCCAGAAAATCAGCCGCTTTTCCAGAAAAACTTGCCAGCTGTCTACACTGGCCGCTTGAATTTCCGGAAAAGCACTGACGATCTCACGTAAGATTGTCAGTGATTTTCCGGAAATACTATGCTGCTCCCGTTAGGGCAAAAGTCTTTTTCTGAAAGACTTTTGCGCAAAAGGGCCAGTGTAGACAGCACAGTACTGTTTTCCGCAAAAAAGCCCCAATCGCGAAAATGGCGATCGGGGCTTTTTTGCGGAAAAGTGCATCTAGATTGGCCATGGATGCTTTTCCACAAAAAGTGCTTTTGCGGAAAAGCATCCTGCCAATCTAGATGCGCTTTTCCGAAAATGCTTTTAACGGAAATTTTTTCCGTTAAAAGCATTTCCGGAAAATCATGCCAGTGTAGACATAGCCCTAGTGTCTGGTCTAGAGTTTTCTCTCACACACACTGGTATGAATAGAGTGTTATGAAGTTACACCACTGTAAAACCTATGCGAGTGAGAGGAGAATTAGGCCATATACTGTATACACAATAGAAATAAAAGGTATGGAAATTAAAGTATTTATGCTTTATAATTTATAGTTAGGTCCAATTCTGGAAAAGGCTACTGATAAACATGATTACAAATAATGATCACAAGATACCTTCAGTAGTGTTCACACTCTTGCAAGTCATTTTCTGCAAACATACCACACCGGTGAATAGTTATCTGGAAAATTACTTGTGGAACATGAAAAACTCATGAAAATGTCAGTATATTGTCCTCTTGAAATATCTTTTGATTGTCCACTCAGAACCAGAGTTAGTCATCAAGGCATTTTGGAAAATCCCACAGTGCCACTCTTTACAACTTTAGGCACCTAAATACATTTTTAAATCTGGTCTTTACTGTTTATAAAAATTTCAGCCATCCAATACGGAAACAGAAATAATTCCAAGTGACTTAAGTGATAAATCACACTTCACAAGTGATGAACAACATTCATTAGTACAAGACATTATTTGTAAAATATGTGCTTCAACAACTCCTAGGTTGAAATATGTTCACATAAAGTGTGTGAACAATTTCAAATAGAAAATAAATTAAAAAAAAAACCATGATAGTCTGTAGATAATTCATGAAGAGAATTTCCTCATATAAATTCATTATAATATTTGCTCAGTTCTACAAGCTTACTTGAAAAATATTCTCAATAGACTGCAAGGAATATCTTTTCTTTTAATTTTAAAGCAAACTTTTTGTTCCCATTTTTCTCTTGATATCACCTAGTGTACCAGAATTTCACAATAACCCACACATTTATCTATTCAAGGTTTTTTGCAAAGATTCTCTGCAGTCTGGCAGAGAGAGTATTGATTTAGGAACTAGCAGTTGTGACAATTCAGTCACAGATTGGAGCTGGCTCGGTATGTGGGCTTGTCTGTCCTGAGCAGAATTCTGATCCAAGCTGGTCTCACATTTAAAAAAAAAAAAACCAACAACAACAGAGAGCTACTTTTATCTGTTACGCTCCAAAGGGAAAAGGATTACAAAGGCTAAATAAGCCATCTGACTACTTAACCAGCAATCCTAAATAGCACCCTGATAGGAAGTACTGGCAGCGAGCTAATTAAATTAGCCCTCTTTGATTTATTAACAAGCAGAGCAACATAGCACTCAGGATTGTCCCACAAAACGAACGAGCATTCTGAACCACACATTTGCTATGGAATTTCCACCTCAGTAAAACCCTATCACTTGACTCAAGTTTAACAAATCTTGATGGCTTCGGGCAATGTCCCTTACTCATCAAAGCACAGCTATATTGGCAATAATATAGGAAAGCATCAATTTGCTTCCATGATCTTAATCCCATTTTAATGTGTAGGACAATATAGTGGTTAATTAGCAATTTGCTGCCCACCAATATGCAAATGAATAACAAGTAAAAGCCTTCTGCATCTGTGATTATTCTGTTGATTTACAAGCCACTTTTCCTTCAGTGTTGGTTTCTCTGTGTGGGTGCATTCATGCATCATGTATTTCATTATTTTTAGAAGCATGCTCTGTGCCTTTTTGAGCTCGCCTAGATCCAGCATCCAGGAATTATTACGTTTTGGATACCATGGGCTTGACACTCAGCTAATGTAAATCAGAACAGCTCCATTGACTTTAATGGAACTGTGCCAATTTACGCTCGCTGAAGAGCTGGTCTTAAGATATGTTAGGGTACTTGGAATTTCTTTGCTGAAAAGTAGTTGACAATAAGATTCAGAAAATGTCAGAGAGGTATAAATCCTAATTGCAGCTTACACACACACACACACAACACACACGCTTATTTATATACACAGATCTGCTTCTGCTTAATCCCTAGAAGAAACTGTAATACTCTCCTAATATTTGGGTTTTTTTCTTCCAAGCTGCTTTTGTAGGTAAAACACAAAGTATACTTCACCCATTTGGCTACTTTCTTGCAGTTTTACTGGTGATTTTTAAAAATGTTTTACATTAACCTTGGTAGTAGAGAACTCTTGTGTTAAATTAAGTCAATTAATAAATGGAGACATTAAACAATCAATTTTGTCTGCATATCTCCACAGCATTATGTATGGCTGGCTGTAATCACAAGATAAATGCAATGTGCTGATGTATGGTAATGTTCAATAATGCATTCTCCACCAGGCTCAATTCATCAGGGAGTTTTTGTGAGGGGGGGGCAGCATTTGTTATTGGCTGTCTCTGGACCTCAAGGATAACATTCCAGTCCTTTTGATTGGCTGACCCACTGCTGCAAGATTCTAACCGTCTTATTTTGATGATGAATATGAAGGCATGCTAAGCTGTGCAGGAGTGTAGTTCTCACAGGCTGCACTCCTTCCCCAGTCTCAAGGACTGACAGTCTCCTTCCTTGCTTTCCTCACCAAACAACAACAACAACAAAAAAGTTGTGATGCTTTTCTTCACCCAGTGCTTTGGGGCTGTATTAGATCTTATTCACCTTAGGTTTCAACATTACAAGGCTAAGAGGGTTTTTTCAGCTGCTGGGCAACTTGTCTGTGTTGTAAACCCAACACACAACCTAAAGGTGAGTTAAAAATATGTTTCTATTCCAGTCTTTTATGCTACTCAGTTGTTTCTCCATAGGCTGTGAAATGATATTCTGGCACAATCGGACAGATTGTTGTTAACACATTACTAGCTAAGAGACTGTTTCATATGGTCTTACTGTTTGGTTTACTTTAAAGCTAAAAGCAAGCAATCAGTGGTTACAGGAAATACTGTGAAGTTGTTGCATCTTCCTCTTGAATCTACCCTCCCTCCCCTTCTTTTTGTATCAAGTGTCTGAAAGGCAAATGTTAGGCAAAATTATTGAAAAAGTTAATGAAAATCTGTTTTCTTTTTAGGAACATTTCTAACACAAATCCAGGAAATCCTTACATACTGTTTAATACCTAAGGGTTACATGATGCTGATTACCTAGCTAAAGAGAGTGTGTGTGTGTGGTGGGGGACGAGGGGACGGGGAAGGGTGTTCTTTGAGTGTTTTGTCTATTTATTCTAAGGGAATTTGAACAATTTCATCCAGCATATAAAGTCCCTCTAGTTATTGGCAAGGTGAACATATTTTAGTCATGAGTTTATATTTGCCTTAATAATGCAAAACCATTTATAGTCACCATAAAAATAACCCTATATCCCCTGAATAAGTTTCTAGATTTCCACTAACAATGTGGCAGTAGCTGAGTCTATGCCAAAACCCAGTGGTTTTGATCTCATCTAGAAAAGACCCAAGTATCTAGTTAGGCAAACAGACTTTGGGGAGTCTTTAAATGGTTTTTATGGTAACAAATTAGCAATTTTATCAATGCCCTTCTTGGTTTGCTGAAGGTCCATCAACCTCACTTGAATAGAATGTCCTATTCCAGCCACGCACTCACCTCATCTAAAACCACAGATGGATTCTTTAAGTGGACAACTCTTTGGCTTTCCCAAAGTCTGTGTCGGGAACTCCAAAGGAACCTCTTCCCAGCATGAAGCTTTAGGGGATCCTTTGAGAGAACAGATCTTTCCTCAGAACTCAGGGCCAATGGGAGTAAGGCACCTAAATGCCTTTAAAACACCACTGGTTAGTGCCACAATGATCTTGTTTGTCATTATTCCAGGAAGTAACACTCACAAAGTACAGTCTGCTAGGGAGGCTATTTACGGTGTTGGACAACACTAACTGAGGATGTCATATTCCTAGAGGGTATGTTTCTAAGCATGCTGAGAGCATGTTGGGCGCTCTCAGCAGTGTGGATAAAGCAGAGCAGGCATTTCAGGGGCAGCAAAGGGAATACTTAGAGACTATCCCACGTCTAGTCTCATCACTCACAAAGTGATCCCCCCACTCCAACACACCAATACAACCTATTTAAAAAAAACCACAAACCATTATCTTTAGGTATGATGTGACTGGTCAGAATAGGTAGGAACTATGTAGAAAGAAATATGCAGACTCTGTAAGTGGATGGAAGATAGTTTAACCAAAGGGATAATTCTATCCTAGCTCCTTTGATGCTTCTCAGTAGCAGGAGACCATAAAATCCTTCTGCTTATAACAAGAAGCACAAAATGGGTGTCCTAGGTTATTGCCAATTCAAGAATGGTGGTGCCTAGACAGGTGCCACTCCAGCAGGATGTGGAAGTGCCCACTGAAAGCAGTGGAAGTTCAGGGTGTTCAGCACTGTGGCAGATTGCTCTTATTAACTGCGAGCCCAATTTCTCTCCGTTTGGAGCTGCAGTCTGTACATTCCAAAGCTTTGAGACAATTTGGGACTTTTTCTCTTCTTTATCCCCAGAAATAAATATTGTCTCACGATTTGTGTTCATAATTGCTGAGGCCTTCAGGGGCTTGATCCAAAGCCCATTGCCATCAGGATTCTTTCTGTTGACTTCTCTGGGCTTTGAATTGGGCAATACATACAGCAGTCCCATTGAAGCAAATGAGGGTTTCAGATGTGATGGAACAGCAGGATTGAACCCATAAAGATTTCTTCAATGGGAGCAGCTCCTATGGCAGGTTTGCAGGATCAGGCCCACTGAGCATGTTTCCCTGCATGAGTTATAACACTAGAGGGATCCGAGAGTGGTCAAGGAAAAAACCCAGTGACTTATACAGTGAAGTGTGCTACAACATTATGAAGGTACAAATGAGGTAACTATTACTTGAAACTTGACACAGAGCACTATAATGGTGAACTATTTTCAAAGATTTCCGTATTTAGTGGTAATAATAATATTAATAATAAATAATAATAATAAAAACAACTCTTAAAGGCTAGCATCTATACACTATAAGCAAACTGGGACTCTCAGTGCTAGGAACTATACAAATATGTAACACATTACATAAATTATTAACTTTAGAAATAACTTGTCCCAAGGGATTAAAACACAAGTGAAATAATACTTTAAAATAAAAAGCCAAATATATTTCTTAGGTGACTTGCAGTATTATGGTATTATGACAAACTATAATGTCCCATATTTTACTATCCAGGATTTGGTCATTTCAATCATATTTTTGGACAATCCTAAAATATTAAACAAGTGAAAATAGCAATTAACTCTGCATGATGTAACAATGACCGTACAAATCTGAAAAAGAACAAGGACCATGAGCACGGGCACTCTTCTCAGCCAATTTGTAATCTTTTTGGGCAGGGGTTGCTATTATAATAGCAACCAGACCTGTGCAGCACCTAGCACAATGGAGCACTGATGTGATTGCTGCTGTAACATGCATAATAAATGGAAGGCTTATTGCATTTCTGTATATGATCAATTATCTTGGTGCATCCCATATGGCCAGATCTTCAATTGGGGTACATTGGCACAGCTCCACCAAGGTCAGTTTGCATCAGGGCCCTTGTCCTGCACCATTAAGTCCATAGGAACTTTCAATGCATGGAGGATCAAGTCAATCTGAGGCTCTGCGGATACACATCATGTACATTTTACACGATGCAGTGATCCTGTATTCACCCATGATACTTACTGACCAATGCCATGTAGAGAAATGTGAATATTTTACAGAGAGAGATTGTGCTAAGTTCCAATCTAACACGCTGGTAAATCCAGAGGAATTCCCATGAAGTCAATGGAATTACTGCAGATTTATGCCAATGTACTATAACTGAAATCAATATTTGGGTCTATGACTCTAAAGTGAATGCTACTTACCAATTTCTTTATTGTTGGTCTCTATGTTGGCAGTAAAATACACACTTGTATATATTCTTCCTCAGGCAGAAAAGACTTAACTAGGGAGGTTTATGCTTCACTTAGTGTATTTTAAAAAAAAATATAGAAGTGCAGATAGCTGTATTGATCCGTTGTTATTTTCTTTTTGTATGACAGACTAATACAGGCAGCTGTAAACAAGGACAGCCAAGATTACAACCATCACCCTCAATTTTCTTTATTTGATGTGGGTATAAATAGGTTTTTTTGAAGCCTATTTCTCTTTCTTGCAGTTTTTTGTACTTTCTCCTTTCATGAGGTCTCACAAGAATGCCACAAGCATCTTAAAACCATAGGCATGTGCTGAGCTGTAATCAAAATTCACTTGCTGAGCAGAGAAAATCATGTATTTACAATGCTTCTATAGGTCACCTTCATTCTCAATCATATTATATCCATTACTTAGCAACCTGGGATTCCTTCAAGCATACAGACAATGTGATGCCTCCCCTTTGAAATAAAAGGCCAAAGCATTATTATGTGGCTAGACACTCTAGCTAAATGATTACTTCTCTTTAAGACCATGATAATTAAAGGGGGCTGCTTAGAGAAGCAATGCTCAGAGTGCCTGGATAAAGGCTATTTAGCTTACTGTGAAAGTTTTAAGTACTCTCTCTGCGTGAAAAAATACGAAATGTATGCTGGTTCATGTGTAAAGAAGGTTCTGTGAATTTTTTTTGTATTAACGATAACTCCACATGTACAGGTTCATCAGCCCCTCTTACACTTTCCTTCCAAATTCTGCTAAACAGACCACAAGAGAGGTAGTGAAACTATCAGCTCTTTCATGTTTTATATTTCAGTTCCCAAACAGAACATAGGAAGGCAGGAAATTATAGGGATGACAAAAGATCAGTGAACTCAAAAGTGTCTTCTTCTTACCTTTTGCTGCAGCAGTTCAGCCTTTCGGCCTTCCTCCTTTATTATTAATTATTATTATTTTATTATATGTAATAATAATATTACAATAATAATATGTTTTATTTACCGTTGTGCCTACAGGCCCTAATCAAGAATTGGGGCTGTATTGTCCTATGTGCATTACACAAACATAGTAAAAAGCTTACAATCTATGTCCTGGTGACTTTATGTAACTCTAACTTGTGACTAATCCCACCTTCCTTTGTTTATCTCATATATTCATCCTTTTCTCAGTGTAAAGATATGTGTTGTTCTTATAAGACCAGCTTTCCTCCTTTCTCTAGGATCTTTAGGCTCTCGTGACATGATCATAAGGACTGTATTTAAAGAGGTGCCTAAACAGAATTTCATCTTGTAGCCAAACAATGTATAGCATGGTTCACAGGACCAAACTGCTACAACCAGATTTTATAAAACCTCAAACAAATCTGCTTTAACTGAAGGAGAGAAGGGTTTTTAATCCTGTTATAATACTTTGTCTCCATGCACACTGGTCAGCCAGACTGCGTTGTAATCCACTTTATCCCCAACAGACTTTGAACCAGGATTAAGTGCCATGGTGTAATGTACACACATAAGATTTAATTATTTATTTAGGGTAAGGAAAGCTTTAAAATATGCCACTAACAATCCCCTGTGCTATGCTTTCCCACTCTCCCCACCCATACACCCTTCATTTCTAGTTTAGTTTATCAGGCAATTTCCCATATTAAGTAGTACTATAGTAATAATAACCACTAGAGGGCATTCAGAATACAATGTGTATGCACATACTACATGATAAACAAGGTTAGTTTGATAGTGTAAATGAGTCCTTATTAGCTTAGGTTATTCCTCAATTAGTATTTGACACAGTGTAATTTGAAGAAGAGGTAAAAGC